CACTGACTAGGCCACAATCCCCAAGCTCCAGTAGGTTTATACTCACTGGTGGATGGGTGTTTTTCAGGCTGGAGGTCCGTGACTAGTGGTGTTCCACAGGCATCCGTACTGGGACCTCTGCTGTTTGGGATATATATAAAAAACTTGGATGTAAATGTAGATGGGTGGGTTAGTAAGTTTACAGATAACACAAAGGTTGGTGGAGCTGTGGATAGTGTAGAAGGTTGTCAAAGGATACAGTGGGATATAGGTCAGTTGCAGATATGGGCAGAGAAATGGCAGATGGAGTTTAATCCGGGTAAGTGTGAGGTGCTGCACTTTAGGAGATCAAATGTTAAGGAAAAGAATACAGTTAATGGAAGGACTCTGAACAGCATTGATATACAGAGGGATCTTGGGGTTTAAGACCATAACTCCCTGAAAGTGGCCACACAGATAGATAGGGTGGCAAAGAAGGTGTATGGCATGCTTGCCTTTATTGGTCGTGGAAATGAGTACAAGAGTCAGGATGTCATGTTGCAGCTTTGAGAGGAGCAGGAAGGCTGACATTTCGGGCCTAGGCCCTTCGTTTTCTGAAGAAGGGTCTAGGCCCGAAACGTCAGCCTTCCTGCTCCTCTGATGCTGCTTGGCCTGCTGTGCTCATCCAGCTCTACACCTTGTTATCTCAGATTCTCCAGCATCTGCAGTTCCTCCTATCTCTGCAGCTTTGAGAGTTTGGTTAGGCCACACTTAGAGTATTGTGTTCAATTCTGGTCGCCACTTTACAGGAAGAATGTGGAGGCTTTGGAGAAGGTGCAGAAGAGGTTTACCAGGATTCTGCCTGGATTAGAGAGCATGAACTAGAAGGAGAGGCTAGAAAATCCTCAGGTTGTTTTCACTTGAGCGGCGGAGGCTGTGGGGATAGTAGGAACTGCCGATGCTGGAGTCAGAGATAACACAGGGTGGAGCTGGAGGAACACAGCAGGCCTGGCAGCTTCTTCTGAAGAAGGGTCCTGACCTACAATGTCAACTTTCCTGGTCCTTGGAGTCTAAGGGGAGACTTGATAGAAGTTTATTAAATTATGAGATGCACAGACAGGGTTGATAGACAGAATATTTTTCCCAGAGTTGAAATGTCTAATAGTAGAGGGCATGTATTTAGGGAAAGATGGGGAAAATTCAAAGGAGGCGTGAGGAGCAAGTGTTTTTACACAGAGTAGTAGGAAGCTGCAACACGCTGCCAGGGGTAGAGGTGGGGGCAGATACAATAGGGGCATTTAAGGTTTTTTAGATAAACACATGAATACGCAAGGAATGGAGGGATATGGACCTATGGCAGGCAGAAGGCATTAGTTTCATTTGGTGTAATATTCACATGGCATCATGGGTCGAAGGGCCCATTCCTGTGCTGTACAGTTCTATGTTCTGTGTTCTATTAACAGTAACACATGAGAAGAGCATGTAAGGGAATCAGAAGACCTGTTTAAACAATTGCAGTTACTGGCTTAGTAATAAATCTTAGGAATATAAGTCCTGGAACTACTAGTCCAAGATGGCAGTGGGACAGGGCTCCTGAGCGTGGGGATCATCTGCTCCATCTGGTTTTCTTTCTTTTTTTTTTTCCCTTTTCTCATTTTTTTCATCATCTTTTTACTGAACTCTTGTGAAGAGCTCAGTCACGACGATGGTATTGGTGCCGGTAAGATGAGTCCAGCGCAGGCTTGTGGTGAAGGCACTGGAGGTGAGTCTGGGCTCCCAGCAGCTTCTACATCAACGAGGTGGGACCAGTGCTGACTCATGGTTGCTGTAGCTGTGGTGAGTTTGGTTCCCAACAGCGTCTGTGTCCAAGTCAGATTCATGGAGGTGGCAGCAGGGGTGAGCTTGGGTACAGTGTGAGAGCTGGCAGCATTGTTGGTGGTTGCATTGGCAAGGCCCAGCGAGCACTCATGGTGGTGGCGGTGCTGGTGAGGTGAGATGGTGCCAGAAAGTGGAGACTGTTCCAGTGACACGGAGAGGGTATTCATGGCTGGTCACACCTGGCTCATGACTCAGCACATAGCAAGAAGGACTGTAAGGTTGAACTTTATTTCTTTATTTTTCTGCCTTTGTATTCTACATCTTGATTTTATTTTTCACTGTTTTAAGATGGCACCAGAGAGGTGCGACTCTATACAACACTTCTTCTCAATTATATAACAAAATACACATGACGACAGTAAAAAAAAAAATCCAATCCAATCAAATCAAATCAAATGCAAGGCAGAAAAACAGGAAGCTGGAAAAATACAGCAGGCCAGGCAGCATCTGGAGGAAAGGAGCAATCAATTACCCTTCTTCCGGACTGGATGTGGGGTAAGGGAAGCTGCAGATAAAGGGGGAGTGGGGAAGGGCTGTAAGCGGAATGGTGGTGACAGGTGGACACTGGTGATAGGTACGACGCATTGGTCGATGGGAGGGATGAATTCGGTTGGTGGCTAGAAGGAAGGGTCAGAAGGTGGAATGGAAGGGAGGAGGTGGAGCTGGAAAGGGAGCCAGGGGATGGGTGGGAAGGTTATTTGAAATTAGAGAACTTAATGTTGAGTCCTCCAGGCTGTAGGGTGCCCAGGCGGAAGGTGTTGTTCTTCAAATTTGCATTCCGAGTCACTGAGACACTGGAGGAAGCCGAGTAGGGCATGTCGGAGGGGGAGTGGGGGACAAGTTGAAATGGGTGGTGACCGGGAGATTAGACTGGCCATCATGGGATGCTGCCTGGCTTTTCTGTGTTCTTACAGCCTCCTGTTTGTCTGCCTTGAATTCCAGCATCTGCAGTTTTATTTTGTCTCAAATCAAATCAAAATCTGGCCAAAAGTGAATTAGCAGAAGTATTGGTAACTTACCTGGGACAGGGGAAGGATTGCTAAAAACAGCGAAAGTGAAGGCCCTGACTGAATACCCTGTTTCTAAAACCAAGTGGGAAATCATGAGATTTTTATCAATGTGTGAGTTTTATTGGAACTTTGTCCCTAACTTCAGCACAATAACTTGAACAGATGGGTTACACAAACAGGCAAGGCTGGTCCGATTAGCAGAATGTCAAGCTGTCCTTGAGAAGCTGAAATAAATCCGAATAAATGACCCAGTTTGGGCTGCTCCTGGCTCTTCCAAACCTTTCAAAGTGGCAGTCGAAAGACACTGGTGATTTCGTCTTCCCCGAACACACACACAATACTTGTCTCTCTAAGTGTGTTTGTGTGTGTATGGGAACTTTTTTAAAGGGTAGAGTTTACATTATCGTGTTGTAAGTGAGAAGTTTATACTTTTTTCTTGTCATAGGTTAGATTCATTACAATAAATAGTTATTCCCTTGATAATGAAAAAGAAATGTCTCTTTTATTCATTTTTGGGATGTGGGTGTTGCTGGCTGGGCAACATTTATTGCCCATCCCTAGTTGCCCTTGAAGGTGGTGGTGGTGAGCTGCCTTCTTGAACCATTGCAGTTCCTGTGCTGTGTATATTCTTTTAACTTGAATTAGAGGGTAAAGTAAGATTGGTGCAAAGGTTTAATTAACTTTGTACATTCATTACGACTGCATGAATAATGGAATTTGACTCCAACAGTTATTACAATGTGATATGACAATGGACAGTGGTTAGGTTGTCTCGTATTGGAAATGGTCATTGCCTGGATTTGTGTGGCTCAAATTTTACTTCCCATTTGTCAGCTCAAGCTGGATATTGTCCAGGTCTTTGTTGCATTTGAACACGGACTGCTTCAGTATCTGAGGAGTCACAAATGGTGCTGAACATTGTGCAATCATCGGCGAACATCCCCACTTCTGACCCTATGATGGAGGGAAGGTCATTGATGAAGCAGCTGAAGATGGTTGGGCTGAGGACACTACCCTGAGGAAATCCTGCAGAGATGTCCTGCAGCTGAGATGACTGACCTCCAACAACCACGACCATCTTCCTATGTGTCAGGTATGACTCCAATCAGTGGAGAGTTTGCCCCTGGATTCCCATTGATTCCAGTTTGGCTAGAATTAGAACATCATTTAGAATATCCTTTATTGTCACATGTACTCAAGTACAGGAGTACAATGAAAAGTTTTACAATGTCATCTCTTATGGTGCCATTTAGGTACAAGTACCAGGGTACAAATCTCAGATATAAAAGAGAAGTAGTTGCATTACTTTACAGTGTTTAAAGAATAAGTTACAAATAAGACATGGTTAAAGGATTGACATTACAGTCAGATAAACACATTTCGCATAAACACTACATTGCAGTGGCTGTGCGGAGGGGATTCCACACACGACCTGACCACCCATGCCAGGCCCTAGACCAACAACCCTCCCTGCTCTGTTCCTAGCCTCCAGACCACTTTGCCCTGCTTCTCAGCTGCTACAAGGTACATTTCCTCCAGGATTCACTTTCCTGCACCGGCCTCCACCCGGGACTCGCTCCTCATGCTGCCTGCTGTTTCCGGGACTGATCCCCCTACACCACCCCTGCTCCAGGACTGATCCCTCTACACCCCCCCACCCCCCAACTCTGGGACTGATCCCCCTACACGCCACCCCTGCTCCAGGACTGATCCCTCTACACCCCCCCACCCCCCCAACTCTGGGACTGATCCCCCTACACCCCACCCCTGCTCTGGGACTGCTCCCCCTTCACCGCCAGCCCCCCACCCCTGCTTCGGGACTGCTTCCCTGCACCAGTTAGGGCTCCTTAATGCCACACTCAGTTGAATGTGGCCTTGATATCAAGGGCTGTCACTCTCTCCCCACCTCTGGAATTCAGCTCTTTTGTCCATGTTTGAACCAAGGCTGTAATGAGATCAGGAGCTGAGTGGCCCTGGCAGAACCCAAACTGGGCGTCACTGAGCAGGTGCTGCTTGATA